AGCAAATTCAAAGGATGGGAAGGAAATTGGATGCTCACAGGCGCTCAGCTCCGTGGGCAAGGCCCAGCTGATCTCTTGCACCTTCACACTTGCCTGGTATTCTAGATGTCTCTTTACCCAATTGCGTTTTGTTTTAATTTGTTCAAGGAAGGGAAACGTCGTGACTTAGCTATAACGTGGCAGAGTCTGAGTATGAAACCAAAATGCGAATGGAGCCGCGCATCTCCAGTGAGATGTAGCAAGCTCATCTTTCTTCGTATCATTTCTTATTCAGCCTCTTTGGTTTGGGGAAGCATCAACGGGGCATGCGGTCAAGTTTAAACTTCATTTTATTGTTTAGAAGCTATTCCCACATGAGTTAGTCAACTGGAAGCCTACCAACTGAAATTGGTAGGCTTAGAGACATAGGTAAACATGAGAAAATGTTTCTCTGCAAGGCCATGGTGCTAGGTGCAGGGAGATGTCCTTATTCGTCTAAAACCTCCTCTTGAGTCTGTGCACAAAAGCAACACATGGCTTCAGAGTTCCCTGTGCCTTCAGATATCTGCAACGGGCCTGTCTCTTCTATCTTGATTTTTCATTCTAATACTGCATAATTCTACCATCGGCTGCAGATACAAGACTTTCGTAGGGTAAGAGGTGGTCTTTGTTTGAATTCTCCAAATCAGTTCTTAAGACAAGGTCATGGGTATTTAGTAGGTGATCTGGGGAAATACCAAGAGCAAACGGGAATAATGAGAGAGGGCAAGAAGGAAGCCCCCAGCAAGGGTGGGCTAGTGGGGAGCCTGCATGTAATGGGACTCCTTAGCACTTCTGATTGGCCCTGTGTTTTAACACCCTGCAGTAGTCAGAGAACACCCCAGGGTAGAGAGACACACAAAAGGGAATCAATAGGTAAGGAAACTGAGCCCCTGAGAGGTTGAAGGACTGTGGTTGGAGATAGCCTCCAAATGCCACAAGGCCAGGAGCAAGGCCATGCAGACTTGGGTTTGATGTCTGGCTTCCTCTGTGCTCACTGTACAACTTAGACAAGTCCCTCTGCATCTCCAAGCCTTGCTGTTGGATTCTATGAGATGGGGTTTGTTATGCCCATCTTTAGGGGTAAAAATAAGGATTCGGTAGTGATGTGTTACTGCATGTAAACCCCTAGCATAGGACTCAGTGCACAGTAGGTGCTCAATTAACCTTCCTTTTATTCCGATGATTTTAATCTTCATTAACTTACTATACAGTAAATGTGCTCCACACCACTGCACCTCCTCACAGAACGGGGCAGAGCCCTCCACGCTCCATCACACCCTGTGATGGGTGGGCTAGGACAGGAGGCAATAGGACTCTTCCACCCCACCGCATCGCTGCTCAGCACATTTCCTGGGCATAGCACATTTCAGGATTTTGTGTGCTGGACCTAGGCAAGCAATTCCCTGAGTAACCCCAGCTAAGAGCAGGATGTGTGACCAAAAAAAAAGAAGAGCGAATCAATCTCTCTCTCTCTCTCTCTCTCTCTCTCTCTCGTTTTAAAATTTTTTATTAGTGCAGTATAGTTATATATAACACTTGAGGTTCGTTTTGACATAATCATACATGCATGGAATATAATTTGCTTCATTTCAGTCCCGGGCTTCTTATTTCCCTCTCTGCCTTCCTCCCCCCGTTCCCTTTCTTCTACTCTAGTGGTCTCCTTTCTATTTATATATTGTTTTTTTTCCCATTGGTGTTTATAGATATGCCTCAAAGGTGGAGTTCACTGTGGTATATTCGTATATACATCATAATTTCAATTTTATTCTGCAGTTTCTCTCCCTCCCTCCCTCCCCTCTCTCCCCCTAACACACCTGAATCCCTTGATACATTCAAAGAAAAAAGTCACATGATAAAAAAACTATGGGCCCTGGATATTGATGTTGTATCTAAGGCAGATGCTGGCTCTGATTTCTTTTAACATTCAAACTGAGACCCTCTCTTGCCTCTGCTCGCCTAGCAAAGCGCCAGTCCTCTTGGGCTAAAGAGACCCCCAGCCCTAATCACATTAGCTGCCTTGGTCCCAATTCCTAGACCATTGTCTCTATAAGGTGAAAAAAAAAAAATAAGAGAAGCTGTCCTCAGTCCTAATTTGTTGCTAAATAAAAGGACTTCTTATAACTTTTGTAAATGTCTGTTGGTTTTATTATGATGCTTAGCTTTTCATAGCCTATTCTTTGGCTTTCCCTCTCTGTTTAAAAAAATGGTAGAAAAAAGTACAGAAGGTTGCTCTTTACAAAACAATGTCTCCCTGTATCAGAAGTCTGTTGCCATCTGCGATGTGCCAAAGCCTCCCTTTCCATAGTCCATAGAGAGCCCTGGCCCTCACTCCTACTTGTACAGATGACTAAATCATCTCTAAACTATTCCTCCCAGCTCTGCACTTAGAAATAATGTTTCAGAGAAGAATCCAAAAACGAAAGCACTATGCTGTCCTTTACCCTTGTGTGAATGGTACTCCAGACATTTTGGAGGGCATGTGGCTGGAGGAAGAAGAAGAAAGAGCCCAGAGAATGAAGGATTCCCATCATCCATGCGTTTAAGTGTGGTTCGCTTATTGACATTGGAGTTGATGGTCTTTCCATGATGCTGGATATCTGAAGAGTACACTCACCTACACTTCCTATTTGACTTAGGAAGACCAAGGTAAAGCGGTGTGTTTCATCTGGCTCTCAACTTTACAAAAGGAAATGAATGGTTAACAAAAATCTCTGCGCTTGGTGAATTTTTATATCTCGTCCTGACGTGGCTGCATGTCTGAGTGGCAGGCAGTGTTATAAATAGTTGATGTCCTGGTCTGATGTTGCAGTGTCTAATGAATTGTTGCCTCCATAAACTGTTTTATGTGTGGCACTGTAGAAGTGAACCAATTAAAAAGTTTTGCCAATTTGAATCCTCTGCATAAAGTACCCTCTGCAAGGAGATAAATGTCTTTGATGCCTTCGAACGCTTGGAGAGCTAAAACTTTATTCAAATTGGCTTTGTAATATCTTTAAATATACATTCCTGTGATGTTTTACTCTCGCATTTATATTAAATGAGCATTTGGACATCATTAAATGAAAACAATTTACTGAATTCTTTGGTACCACCAAACCCCTGCCCCCACCCCCCTAAGTTGTAAAATAAAATTCCAGAACAGACTTTTTAATTTGTTTTGAGTCTTGCTTTTATTAAATTTGTTTGTATCTCTAATGGTTCCATTCTGACCTCCCTGGCATCATTGTGAAGAATGCTTTGAGAGGAAAAAAAAAAAAAAAAGCTGATAGTTATGTTTCATGGAAGCCAAAGTTCTTCTTGCAAATTAAAATTACATTCCACTTTGCTGAACACTAAGAAAATCAGCTTTTGGAAAATTACCTCAGCCCTAAAGATGGGGCTGCCACTTACCAGTCAAGCCCTGTTCTTCTTCTAATGCACATCTGTGAGCAGACCCCCTCGGCTTCTGACTCACGCTGGACTAAACAAAATCTCATTAATAGACTTGGCATTAATAGACTTGGCCTAAAGAAGCACTCAAAAAGACAACTCGTCATGTTGTCCCTGATGGGAAATGTCACACAAAGTCAGAACGGAGGTGCATTTCTGGACAAGCACTTCCATCGGAGAGAGGGCATCTCTTTGTTTCAAATGTGTCAAAGCTGGCCTTCCCAACTCTCCCAGGCCTTGACAAGCCATTTTGAAGACGAGGGCCAGAAGGATAAAGAAAGCAGGGAAGGGGGCAGGGTGCATGCACCAGGGAGGAGAGGAGCAGCAACTGTCGGGGTCCTGCAGAGGACCCTGGGGTTGCGGATGTGGGGAAACCCACCCTGCCTTCCAGGGGGCTCGCTTCTGGAAAGGAGGCAGACCTCTCTAGACAAAAGAGCTGATGAAACAGGAAAGGCGTCGTGTGAATTAGGACATGAGCAAGCAACAGAGCTCTTAAGCCCGCTTTCGGGAGCAAAAATCTTAGAGGATAAACATTGAGCTGAGGTTGGAAAATGAGTGATTTGAGAAGACGGACGTGGGAAGACTCTGCAGGCTGAGCGCACAGTGTCTGTATATTTAGTGTTGCAGGAGCAGGAGGCCAGGAGGCTAAAGGCAAGAGGGGAGGCTAGGCACATAAGATTTGGTTCTGTAGTTATCTAGAGCCAGTCAACATTATCATGTAGGATATGATATGGTTATGCCTGGTTACAGTTGTGCACCACTTTGGTCAAAGCAGACTGCATGTATGATGGCGGTCCCATAAGATTAGAGGGAAGCTCCAAAATTCTCATGAGTGACATCTTCCTGGTGGCAATAGGGTAGACAACACATTGTTCACATGTTGGTGCTAATGCTCGTGTTAACATACCTACTGCACTGCCAATCGTGAAAGTAGAACGGGTATGATGAAGTAAAATACATAATACTTGATAATAAAAATAAACAACTATATTTATGAGTGTACTTTTTATCATAATATTTATTTATGCATTTTCGTACCAAGGATTCAAACTCAAGGGCACTTAACCCCTGAGCCACATCCCCAGATCTTTTTATTTTGGATAGAATCTCGCTAAGTTGCTTAGGGCCTCTCTAAGTTGCTGAGGCTGACCTTGAACTTGGGATCCTCTTGTCTCAGCCTCCTGAGCCATTTGGATGACAGGCATGCGTCCCTGCACCCAGCTTTATTGTAATTTTAGAGTGGACTCCTTGTACTTATAATAAAGTTCACTATAGGCTAGAGTTGGGGCTCCGTGGTAGAGTGGCATTTATCTAGCATGTGGGAGGTACTGGGTTCAGTTCTCAGCATCGTGTATAAATAAGTGAATAAAATAAAGGTCCATCAACATCTAAAAAAAAATTTTTAAAGAAAAGAGTTCACATAAAACAGTATGCCAGACTTTACCGGTAGCAACTCATCCTTCTTCGTGTTTACCACATCTCTTGATCATATATTTTTCTCTCTTGCTTGATTTAAACTCATGTTGTTTTATTCATCATTAGCTTAAGAGCAACAGAATACACCATTATATGTGTGTATGTCTGGTATGTGTACATGTGCGTGCGCTTACTCTTTACACAGCACCCTATAGCTCAGGTGTGTGACGTAGGCTATACCTTTGTGACCTCTACGAAGTTCACAGAATGATAAGATCGCCTAACAACGCATGTCTCAGAAAGTCTCCTCTTCATTAAGTGATACTAAACTGTGTCCAAAACATCTCTACTCACAGTGTAGAGGAGAGGTTTGAGAGCCACAAGCACATGGTCAGGGAGCACTCTGGGAAGGACAGGGTCCCTGCCACAGAGAGAACCACAGGGTCACATCTTTCACCATCCCTCAATAGAGGCTAATGACAAGATGCTGAACCTAGATCACTAAAAACAAGCTTAGCGAGGGGCCAATTGTGCTAGGTTAAAGCTCTCTAACCATGCAGCTTAGATCTGAAAATAAATTATGGAACTGAGGCTCTCCATGTAAGTTGGTAAGTTCTGGACAGCTCTGAGTCAAAGGTTTGACTCCCTTTCCACCTTGTGGCACACACCAATTCCTGGTAGCTAATTAAGGACCTCCACGTGGTTGAATGTCAGTGTTGTGCCGTCCCCGACAGATTTAACCTTCCCAGTCATCTCAGAGCTTAAATTCTGTACTCCTGAGCATGCTTCAAGTGGTGAGCTCTGGATTTCCTTCCCTGGATGGAGCTAATCATCCAGGTACTGTCTTGCCTTTCTCCAACTCAACTTCTCAACGACCCAGTCAATCCCATTTGCTTTCCGTGAGCATCTTTGGCAAGAAAAATGAGAAGATGAAGCTCAAAAATGGTACATGTCCCTATTTATCTGTGCTGAAAGGTCATATGACCGAAGGAAAGTTTAGAAAGTCCACGGCAGTTAAGCCTGGGGATGTGGCTCAGTAGTAGTGGGCTTGTCTAGCACGCACCAGGCCCTAGGTTCGACCCTCAGCTCCACACCCAAGGAAGACATTCTGTGGCAGTTAGACATAAATGTTACATTGACCAGTCTTATTCAGACGTCGTTATTCAGTGTCCAGCCACGCAATGCCTAGGACACGGGGTAGTTCATATGCCATGACTCCGTAGAAGCAGAAGTTCCTTATGAGCAGCAGAGTTGGAATTCCAGGCCAAGTGTTCCTAAAGCCAAGAGGAGCCACTGTGCCCTCCGGCTATCTCAGGAGCTATGCTCCTTCTAATTCCATTTTGGTTTTTTCATTCAGAAATATAACTAACTTTCATCAAAAATATAATGTGCACAAAGAATGAGTTCAGATTTTCCAGGTGTGTCCCCATATCCAAGTTCCCAGTGTTTGGGAACATACCAAGCCTTTTGATTGATGCTCCTATTTTTCATGTTTTTTTTTTCCCCCCCAGAAGTCTTTTTCTGTTTTTCTAGGTAATAAGTCAATTTCTATACCACTTTCTTATTTAAAGAGTTGAGCTTTGTGTGTGTTATGCCAGTTAAATATTCCATCTCCTTATAACTAAATACAAAAACCAATAAATGGAGGTATGAATTTTCACAATTTCACATGAGACTGCATCTGCCTTTGGTCTCGTCAATTTATATGTGGTGATTTCTTATCATAAATAGGTTTTGAGCTGTCAGGATGATCCTTTTCTTCACACATTTCCCAAACAAAAAAAAAAAATTTGCAGAGAGCTATCTATACCCCCAAGAAGCATGAAAAATATAGGTTTCCTGACAAGGAAGAAAACATGATAATTGATGACTGAGATAGGCTGCCCTTCTCTGGAGGTTTTTAATTACCACCTTTCATTTACATAACACTTGAAGCTCTTCCAAAAGCTTTCAGGTACATTATCACATTTGTTCTTCAACACAACCCTGCAAGGAGAGAGAGGCAAGTATTACTTTAGGAGAATAAGCTACTAAAACAGAGAGAGGTGAAGTGATTTGACAAGGTCACACAGCTTGTTAAGGCTGGAGCTGGGGCTAAAATTGGGATGATAACTCCACCTTCCATGGAAGCAGCTAGAAGGATCTGGGTTGGCTCCTCTCTATGGTCTAAGAAATATGAGCTGATTGGGAAAAAAATAAAGTATTTTAATTTCTTTTATGAATACTTGTCATCTTTCCATTGGCCACATTAAAAAAATAAAATATGGTTTTATTGGAAAGAAGTGGGATTTGGGGCCTTCATTCCAGAATAGCCGGTTGACTTTAGAGTCAACTCAATTACTTGCTATCTAGGAGAACTGAGGTTTCATTTTCCTTAGCTATTAAAAAAAAAAAGATAATAATAATACCTATCTCATGGAGTTGTGAAGGCTAGAAGGAATGGGACATGTAAAACAAATTAGCACTAGGCCTGGCGCATAATAAGTGCTCAATGAATGATTGCTGCTATTTGTAGGGTTGCCATTGTCTTCTTCTTCATCATCACCATCACCACCATCATCATCATCATTATGAGTACAATTCTAAACTCTGTGGGTAATAAGCCCCACATATTGCCAACATGTCATTTGGGGTTCTATTGACCCTTTTTTTTTTTCTTTTCTGGCCCTGATTCAAATAATGAGGTATGCAATTTCATTGACTGGGTGTGTTAATTAGAAGCTTTTTTAAAGATTTCTCCTGCCCATGGAGGCCACTAAATAATCTCCACATGGGTCAAGCTCTGTAATCACCCCGCTGCCTGATTGATTGTGGAAGTCAGCAGCTGGAGCCATGACAGAAGATCTGTGGCGAACAGGACGGAGAGTCTAAAGGCTCCAAATCAAGCTTGTCTTGATTCTCTCATTACACCCGAAACTCAACTTTTATCTACATCATAATTAAATAATATGACATTTTCTTAACCAGCATCCTACCCATTTTTAAATACATCTTTTATTAGATGGTAGAACTTATAAAATATTCATCAACACAAGCTACTGTGGGCCTTTTTAATTTTTTTTTTTCTGCTGACCTAACCTCAGAGCTGCTCAAGTGGAAATTAGATTTTTTTTTTTGTAGCTGTTGCTAACTCGCTGAAACTGTCTGCATTTGCTAGATTTCCTAAGGACCAGGAAAAAAAAAA